CCTACCAATGCAATCGACCCAATGTTGTAGGTTGACTTCTTTGCATAGCAAAAACGGGATCTGGCTTCTGCGGGAAAGCCTTCTTTGCGGTTAGCGTGTCGTTGCTTGGCTTCAAAGCTGTCGCACTAAACTATATGTTAAGCTTAAGTTTACTATCTTGAAAACAGTATTAGCTTATCAGCAAGTGTTTATTTCCTGGTTATCATTTCATTGTTTATTTATAGTGCGATTTCCTTTGCAATAAATTTCAGCTTGAGCTTTAGCGGGAAACGTATCTCAATCTTAGGCAAGCGCAGCAACGCATGCTTAGATGGTTGCACTGATTAGGTAATACATAATTACGTGATTGTGGGGAGAAATTTATCATGGTGCTTGCGTTACTGCCATATGTGTAACTTAAACGCAAAAAAAAAATATTGAATATTCTAAATGTTACAATGTTTATTGCATGGAATAAGGATCATATCATGCACAGATCGCGTTGGTTAGGCGGTAGGATTGATAATGATGATGACGACGAATAATAGAGGGAGAATGCAAAGATTCTTAGGAACCGAATTATCAATGTAATAAATTGAATCCGATTCTAGGGCGCATTTGCTGAAAGTATTTAATGTATGCAATATATTGAATGTGCTGATTTAATGTGCCGTGGAAAGACTTTGTGTATTTCTCCCATATTTCTTCAATTGCTCTAGTACATCCCCGTTTATGCATTGTTTGTACGTATGTTGTTGTATATTCCTGAGTGTACCTGCTCGAAGTGCCTCGCGAAAAGTGGGTCAAGTCAGGAAACAGATACTGCTTTTTCCCAATTCAAATTCGGATTCTTTATTTCAGCATTCATATGAAACAAGTGCTAGGACAGGAGCAAAGAGCCGCTATTATAGCGGCCTGATAGAGGCCCCTGCCCCTATAGAATTAGGCAGAAGACAACACACGCAGACAAAAAAAAAAAAAACTGCAACGCATCGCTATACAGATTGTCTATAAAAAAAAGAAACAAACTGATGAAACACTAACATTAGTTTTGTAAATGTAGAGCATAACAGAAAAATTTTCTTTTTTATTTTTACCTAGAGAACATGCTTTTTTTGCGAACAGTACACAACTTCTCCGAGCACAATCGTAAAACAAATGTAGCAGGATGAAACCATACAGTTTTCTAGGTACTTAAGAGCATGTAAGATGAGTTTCACACAAAACAAAAATAAAATATCTACCATACCTAAGAAACAAGCAAGAAAAAAGCGAACACGTTATATGGCATGCGATTACTCACATATAACCGCATGGCTAAGAAAATACTGCTTTAGTATCAGACGTGAAGTGATAGTTAAATTAAGGTTTCCCCAAATTAAATGCGCCGTTTCGTATCGGAGTGTAAGCACTTGTGGACCTGAAATATTTCGTGCAGACTTTCTGATGTGAGCTTAAACTTTCATGTTTACACTTTTAACACGTTTAGCCTCTACAGTCAACGTAAGCGCTAACGTAACTGCTTAACCGATGACCATGGGATCGAATCCCGGCCGTGCCTACCGTATTTAAATTGAGACGAAATTTCGAGGCCGAAATCATAGCGTGTTTTTGGAACGCAAAATCTTAACAATTATCTTTACTTCGGAGGAGCGAGAACACCTCGGAATATGCTGCAGCCAACTATATACTGCCGTATCCGTTTATTCGGTTTCGCGCACTGTGAAACATTGTCCCAAGAAAGAGAGTTAACTGCAGTATACGCTGCGTTGTAAGTGCTTATTTCTCTAAACATCGTGCAAGACACGTGACACATATATCTTATATTAAAAGACATAGTTTTTTTTTTGTGCTGGTCCATGCAATCGCCGTGCTATAGCTTCCCGACCACGAAGATCCGTATTTAGAGTGGGGGTGAAATGCAAGGAGGTGCTATCTGTAAATTGAGGTCCTCGTTAAATGACACCCAATGGTCAGAATTTATTATAGCAAGTCCAAGTGTGGTTAGATCATAGTTATAGCTAAACAACTGAACTATTGTTAAATGATGTTCGCATTCTCATTAATAGGGAAGATAGTATGTATCTGTGTGTTTCCACGTTACAAAACTTGATTAGTAAAATTTATCAACTTGTCTTGAATGTTATGTTTTATTAACATAAATCTAATATTGGCGGCGCATTACACTTCGGTGCATTTATTTAAGAGGCCGAGTTAATTTTTTTTTAATTATAGGTCGTGTGCATGTGCGACCCGTATCGGTAATATGCGGTGGAAAGTATACCTAAGCACTCCGTTATCCTAATATCGTAATTCTTTGTATTATTGGAAATTGTGCAAAAAGGTGTAGTTCTAAGACATCGCAAGCGGGCGTTAATCCAATTACTGTCGTAAATATCTTCTAGGCAAACCTAGAATACGTTAATATACCACCGTATACTTTTTTTTTATTTTTCAGAGGCGATGCTCCTAAAGCCGTGGGTTTGTACATGCATGTCTTTTGTGACCGCTTTGTAACCACCTAGTTGTATGACTCATTCAGCAGGTGGCGCTAATGTGTGTGACTGACAGACGGACGCACAGACAGACGCTTCGCCCCACTAATCGTCCTTCACTCGTGGTTGTGCTGTGTGTGTGTGTTTTTAATTTAACAAGGTCGATATTATTTATTCGTTTTGTGCCACAGGCCAAAAACAGCCTCCGGGAAACGCCAGGTCGGCCCTTCCAGCGAAGCGGTTATCTGACCTATATTATCGCACCGTGACGTCACAAGTGCAAGCGAACAACTTTCACGTGGCGCGCACGCGACGCGAAAGCAAGCTAAGCGTGTCCGCTGACACACATACAGCGTTGGCGTTTTGTTTGTCGTCCGCTTCATTGATTTGTCGTCTGTCTTCGACGGTGCAAACCGGGCGGCCATGTTACGTTAAGCTAACGTGTGGAATGAGTTACTCATTTAGGTCTGTTGTTATTGTTGTTCACTTCCTTTCAGAGTATGTGAGTGGGAAACGTCGTATACCTACAGAATTCGTATAGCTAAGTTTATTTTTCGTGTTCTTACACATTAAGACGGGTGCGTCTTATAGCGGGTACTGCAGTCGAAAATTTAACCATGTCCGACTATACACGAATGCGACCGTTCCTTGATGTGCGCAGCTTTGCCGTAATGACGAGCGCGAGGTGCTGAATAAATTGTTCTGACGGTAACGATATCCTCCTGAGTTCCAGCTATGGGGATTTGTCCAAAATATTGGACATGAAATACCCCATCACTACAAAGATCTCAGCATGTTTTCTTCCTCAAAAACCACTTGTCCAATATTTTGGACATCTACTGGCGCCCTCCATGAAGTTTTGTCAAAATTGCGCCAGGAGATCGCGAAACAAAGAAGAAAACATGGTGGCGTTCAACAGGGCAATCTTCTAGAAGTTAAACGGCGAAAGTTAAGGTCCACTTTTCTGTTGGTTTTTTATTATTTGTTACATTTTGAATAATAGCTTGCAGTTATTCCGGAATTTGTCACAATTTTCTTCAGTAGCCTTGCTTTGTGTTGCTTCAGGCCCACTACTTAACGCTTTAATTAAGTTTCAGCGTCCAATTAGTTGGACATCACGCCATACCAAAAGCGCAGGCATCATGGAAATAATAAGCTTCACTTTTTATCTTCGTCATCTACACACCAAGTTGTGAAAGTTTCAGGCAATTCCGTGGACCAAAATCCAACCCGGAAGCCAGGAGGATATACACGTGAGGCTGGAATAAAAATAGCGCTCGATATTTACATTCTACTCGACTAAGAATACGAATCTTCTGACGTTATCAGTGATGGAAGTGCTGCTCCGATTGCTACAAACTGCTCCGAAAGAGACATGCTGCTCCGTGCGCCTCGAAACACTAATTTTTGTTAGTAACTGCTACAAACATGCTTCGAAATGACAGAGAGAATGACGAATTTCTACTGTTTGACCGACTCATCAGTCCTAACGAAACAGAGAATAATCTGCGTATTATTATACCAGTGTGCAACTAGCGGGCAGCATTATGGACTTTGATCTCATTTGTGTAAAAAAAACTGGCACAATAAGAATATAGCTCATTAGGCTTTTTCTTCATTTTTCAGCTATACATGCAGGCTAGTCTGGTGGAAACGAGCAGGATTGCTTTTATCTCACACCGATTATCTACTGCTTATTCGGCAACAGTTATATGAGATTGTGGTTACTTCTAAAACGTGGTACTCAGCTTCTCCGCTTGGATTTGATTTCTGCCGCAAGTGTTGGTATTTTAAATTGTAGCTCGTTTCAGAGCACATTTTTGACAACCTGCCATTGTTTACTTCGTGAAATTTACATTGTTGCCTGTTAAATATAGTCCATAAGAAATATTAATTTCTACGAGACGCTTCATCCATGCTCTGAACTCAAATCGATGTATGGCAATTTCATTATCTGATCCTAAAACACAGTAGCCGCTCCAAAGCAGTACTTTAGCTGCCAAAGTATGCTCAAAAAAAAGTAAAATGTCCCTTCTATCACGGCGTTACCTATCACGCACCTTTGTTTGGACCGCTGCCGCAGTTAGACAAGGTTGTCGGTGACACGTGAGCGGAACGACACTGCCTCACTGATCGACTCTGATGACGTTGGTAAAAAGCACGCAGAACGCAGTTGTTGTTGCCGCTTTCTCGTTGTTTCGTTGATGGAAGCGACACTGTCGCAGTGCCGGAACGCAGCTCTGCAGCATGCAACGCCGACCTCGTTCGAAGCGCAACACTGGATTCACAGGCGAGGGGCGCTCGCATAGCGGATCCAGAAAGTAGGCTTTTCCGTCGGCATATTCCGTTGCCAACGGCGCAGGCGGCCGCGTCGTCTGCTACGCGCGCACCTGTTGCGAATCGTCTGCTGCTGCGGTGGCGCTGCCATCGTCGCTACGCTTCGCTGATGTCGTCTGCTTTGGTTGTCGTCTGCTGCTGCGGCGGATGGGAGAGGCGTACTTTCTTTTTTTTCTGGCAACGGTTTACTTGGACGCTGCAGCGAAGCCGGCTTCGCCGCTGGCGCTGCGTGTGCGACGGCGCTCTCGGCGCTGAAGGAGCGAGCACGAGGGAAGCGGCGCGGGCCGCGCTTTTGGCGCAACGCCGCCGCGAGCGCAGCAGACGACGCCAGGCGCCGCTCGACGACCGTTAACGCGCCCCGCGCTCTCTGCGAGATCTCGCGTGTGCCGCCCTGGATTGGCAGAAGAGTCGCAGCGACAGCAGGAGCTGAGCGGCGCGCCACGGCAACATGGGAATAGTACCTGGAACGAGCCCGTGGTGTGGAGGAGTGTGATTTTTTTTTTTTTTGCCTCATCGACTGCCCCCTCGACTTGTTAGGATGAAGTCCAAGAGAGGTGAGTGAATGTTTTGCGCAAAAAGCAGTGTTCTTGCGCAAGTCTGGTCTGTCCTCGATGCGACCACGTGCTGCTGTGTCAAGTTTGAAACGTCGTTCGCCGTCTGTTATCGGGCTTTCGCGAGCCGTTCGAAATCAAAGTGAAAGAATACGTTTAAGCAGACGAGAGGTAATTCGTCTGCAATCGTCTTTATGCATCTGGTTCGAGCAGACGAAACGTTATCGTCTGCAACCGTCCCTTTCTTGGTTGAAGCAGACGGTCGGTATTCGTCCGCGACCGTCTCTCCTTATGTGCTTGCCATTTTTTTGTTTCTTTCGAAATAACCGTGTCAACGCTGTAACCGTTGGAAAGAGAAAAATACATTGTCGGGCGGCCGCCAAATGTCAAACCGTTCGTTTTGACACTTGACATTAGCGAGTTTGACGGCTGCTGTGGAGCCACCACTAAGGCGGCTGCGACGGCGTTCAGTTTTTGTTCCTCGTGGAGACGAATATTGAACGTCGAAATGGCACGTCCCTGTCTCGGATTCTCGGCAGCTCTTCGGGCATTCGAATTCGCTGCATGGTTTACGCTGACCTTTTCCTTAATATTTTCTCGTGTCCCTTTTCCCAAAGCTTTGCACACGTTTCTACTACGCATTTCATAACACGTGCTCCCCTAGAGAGATACGGCTGTGTACTAGTTTGCATACTTATACAAACCATTAACGCGTTCGCTTTTCTTTCTTTTTGCACTCCTTGATGACTTCCCGCTTTTTGCTGCTAGGCAGTCGTCGCTCGTTCAATAAATAACCGCCCGTACGAGTTGGATGAGCGCGTCGTCTGACGTGCGTACCATAATACCATCTCGTGCGCAAGAGATTCGCTTTCAAGGTCCTTTCCTTGGCGACGTTTCGGCAAAGAGAAAAGGGCGAAGCGGCGCGCTTGGTTTTTTTGTGACCCCGATTTTTTCTGGTGTCGTCGATTCCGTTGCACACGAGGGAAGTTTGACACGCGGGAGAGACCGGATCGCTTCCTTTTTCCGCGTTTTAGCGTATCTGTGCTTTTTCCGCTCTGTCGGTTTTGTACGAGTAGCTACCGCGTCGTGCTGACGCTATGCCAGAACCCCCCCTCCATCCTACCCCACTGACGTCGCCCTTGACAGCTCCAGTACGCGCCGCGTGGAGTCTCGGTAGGTTGGCCGATGACGACAGTTCGCTATCTACCCGCGCCCGGCAGCAGTCACAAAATGCCGGTGAAAGTACTCGCCTCGTGTGAGCGACAGACGGGAGGACATCTGTAGCGCATATGTCGTTCACTCGTGGCGATCTGGACATAATTTGACGGGGCTTTCTGCGTAGCTCGTTCATCTTTGCGATGGTTTTCACAGATCTATCTATCTATCTATCTATCTATCTATCTATCTATCTATCTATCTATCTATCTATCTATCTATCTATCTATCTATCTATCTATCTATCTATCTATCTATCTATCTATCTATCTATCTATCTATCTATCTATTTGCGCGCCTGTACGTCTTTCTGTACGTCTGTGTGTTTGTGCTTCTTTCTGTACGTCTGTGTGTTTGTGCTTCTTTCTGTACGTCTGTGTGTTTGTGCTTCTTTCTGTACGTCTGTGTGTTTGTGCTTCTTTCTGTACGTCTGTGTGTTTGTGCTTCTTTCTGTACGTCTGTGCGTTTGTACCTCTTTCTGTACGTCTGTCCGCACGTCTGTGTTTGTGCTTCTTTCTGTACGTCTGTCCGCACGTCTGTGCGTTTGTGCGTCTTTCTGTACGTCTGTCCGCACGTCTGTGCGTTTGTGCGTCTTTCTGTACGTCTGTCCGCACGTCTGTGCGTTTGTGCGTCTTTCTGTACGTCTGTCCGCACGTCTGTGCGTTTGTGCGTCTTTCTGTACGTCTGTCCGCACGTCTGTGCGTTTGTGCGTCTTTCTGTACGTCCGTGGGCTTGTGCATCTGTTTGTACGTCCGTGCGTCTGCGGGTTTGTGCATGCATCCTGTTCGTACGTCTGGCTGTACCGTCGCGACCGCGTGCTGACGTTCGCCCAGAGCCCCCTCCTCCTTAGCGTCGCCCTTGACAGCTCCAGTACACACCACGTGGAGCGCCGGTGTCTGTGACGCAAAAGAAGAGGGCTCGCTATCTACTACTGCCCCGACGGTGGCAGCCTCAAAGTGCGGGCGTGCGCAACACTTATACTACACCACCTCGGTCCACTTGGCGCCGTTGCGCCGCTATCTCTCGTCGGAACCGCTGCAGCAGTTATTTAATGTAATGACAACGGCCCGCGTCGCGATAAAAACGGCTCGCGCTTCGAAACTCCGGACGGACGGTTGGCTGTCTGTTCCACGGCGATCCCGCCATCTTTTTTTTTTCGCCATTTTTTTTTTCGAAGCCAGCGGAAGTTCGCGCCTCCTGTAAACGATAGGCAGGGGAACATCTGTCGCACATGCGTTCTTCAGTCGCCGCGATTTGACATAATTTTACTCCGCTTTTTATGAAGCTGATTTATTTGGCACGCGTGGTGTGTGTGTGTGTGTGTGTGTGTGTGTGTGTGTGTGTGTGTGTTGTGTGTGTGTGTGTGTGTGTGTGTGTGTGTGTGTGTGTGTGTGTGTGTTGTGTGTGTGTGGTGTGTGTGTGTGTGTGTTTACGCTCGCACCCCATTTTTCTGGAAGGTATACAAGGTGGTTCTCTTTCCAATCACGCCCTGAAGATCTGCACAACTGATAATGATGAGCAGATGATAATGCTGAGCAGGTAACGTGGACGGAGCTGCCGCCGCCAATAAAAGCGAGAACTTCGCCTTTTTAAAGCGCACGGCGGCTATTCGACGGCAAGGAAGCCGCCGTAAAAAAAATATGAGAGAGAGAGCCTTCCAAGTTAGCTGAAAACCGAAGAACTCCCCTTTTCATTCCTCTCCCCCTCTAGAACCGGGTAGACGATGTTTGCATAAGCGACGGAAGGTACAATGCAACGTTTGCAGGAACTGTGTGTCCTTGTGCGGCGAGGGCCGCGGCACTGCACGCATCTTGCGAAGGGTCACAGTTGTTTACATGTTACGCGTCGTCTCTGTCAAGAGATACGCAAGGGTTAAAGGAGAGAATGCAAAGAAAAGAACGCTGCAGTGGTCATCGTTTCTGCACTGTCTGCGTTTCTACCGCTCCTTCATCGCGCGTCTGATGGACACCCTGAAAAATGGAAGCATTCTGTCAATTTCGACAGTCGGCAGTGACCGAATTTCTTCGCTTCCTTTACGGTTGTGTCACTTGAAAAAAGTAATACTCTGCTTTCCCAGACAGAGATATAAGTCCAAGAAAAGGCGCACTTCATCGTTAAAATTTATTTACGACCTTTGGGGAGTATGATTGTGCAAAACGAATACGAAAAGAAAACAAAAAGTGGCCATACTTCTTCAGCATTTCGTTAGTTGTCTGTCTGTCTGTCTGTCTGTCTGTCTGTCTGTCTGTATGTATCTGTCTGTATGTCTGTCTGTCTGTATGTATGTATCTGTCTGTATGTATGTATCTGTCTGTCTGTCTGTATGTATGTATGTATCTGTCTGTCTCTGTTTGTATCTGTCTGTCTCTGTCTGTCTGTCTCTCTCTGTCTGTATGTATGTATCTGTCTGTCTCTGTTTGTGTCTATCTGTCTGTATGTATGTATCTGTCTGTCTCTGTTTGTATCTGTCTGTCTGTCTGCCTGTCTGTCTGTCTGCCTGTCTGTAGGTCAAATACCATTCGATAACTTCATTAAATATTCTACTGATTGTTCCGGAGTTAGTTTACCTCTCATAAATGCTACCTCGCGAGTCACGACCGCTTGTCAATAATGCTATTCTATATACTACAATTTCATTACCCATAAAAGCAACCCTATGCGGCGTAATTGATGCGTTGTTTATCATTGCGCATAGTTCATGTAATTATCAACATTAGCCTATAGGGTGGTAAACAACGCTATAGATGCGTTGACTGTTCGCGGCGCGTCTTCGTGTAGTTCGCCGTTTCCCGATTTAACCTCTCTATAGCTCGCGGGAAATGGACCGTAAGTTCAGCGGGGCTTACACCTGTATATACAACGTTGTTCGTCCGTGTCGATTAATTGAGTCTTTGCGAGGAAACAGACGAAAGCCGTCGTCTGCGTGCTTCTGGCATACACTGACGTATGTATACAGCGTTAAAATTAATACGCGACGGGCGGTTTTCTTTCTATCTTTTTTTTAGTGGTGCTACGAGCAATTGATCGTGATAAGCACGTTGTGGCGCTGTTAATATGGCCTCTAAAGGTTGTCTGTTTTGACTTGAGTGTTCGAGTCAAAGGAATGCCTGGAAAGAAAAGTATACTTGCATGGCATAGCCCTAAATGTTTTTGCGTTTCGATCTGTTCGTACTGTGCGTGCTTTGCTGTCGCGTCAGTATATTATGGTGGCTCGATATTGGTGCCGATATAGCTGCGACGTAGTTTGCCCGGTAGGGAAGCTGTTGAAGACGTCGCTATTGCGATCGGAGTCGTCATCTCGAGGAACTCGCCGGCGGGGCTGTTGTCGTCTGCTGCGACGTTTCGTTTCCGTCTGTGCCGCGTATAAAAGCATAATGTTGTCGTCCCGTGTGAGCTGTCGTCTGCAACCACACTTTGCTTGTCTGACTTTTCATGTTTGACACACCGAATTCTATAGACGCTTTGCAAGGACAGTTTGGTCTGCCGCGGACGTTTGCGTTGACAGTGACGTTATTGAACCGGTAACGGTTCAGGATGACACTGCTTTTTTTTCTTCGGGAAGTCGCTATAGAACTGCCGACGTTGCCTAGCGCGACTTCTGCTACGACGCAATGCGGCCTGTTATTTTGTTGAAGCTTAGTAAGTATGCAGAAAGAAAAAAATACATCCTCTCTCTCTCTCTCTCTTGAAGCTCCCTTTGTATTTATGCACCGCTTTTGCGCGGTATAATCAATAACGGGACAATGCTCGCGCTGTTGTGTGTGTGTGTGTTGTGGGGTGCACTATTT